GTGAATTGTCTCAAGTTGGTTTTTAGCTCAACTCAGTAACTGTCAGTTACATCACTTGTTTGTTAAAGCAGTGGTCCTGGTACTCAGAGGTCTTCCGGGGGTACATCAACTCATCTAGATATTTGCCTAGTTTTACTACAGGCTACATAAAAAGCACTAGCGAAGTCTGCCCCAGCAGCCAGACCCGTGCTGCAGCCCTGGGACTGGAGGAGCTCTCACTTCCCACTGTGGCGCCAGGGCTGTGGGGACAGAGCTTCTCCGGTCTGGGGGGCGGGTGCAGAAAGGAGCAAAGGGGTTGCCGGGCTGCAATGGGGGGGGGGGCAGAATGGAGGGGACCCTGGGTGGAACTGGGGTGGACCCCGAGGAAGGAGCAGAAGGGTGGGGGAGGGCCCCCCCACTTGCTCTGGCCCAGGGCCCCAGGAAATCTTAATCTGCCTCTGCTCCTGGTTGAGAAATTCTGAACTAGACAATCTTGTTCTTGAATGCCACAGAAGTGACTGATGTCCAACTCTAAAGCTAGACAAATCTAGGTGAGGTGACCACAGACCCTCTTAATGGGCACAAGTTTATCTTAGGCCCCAAATCTTGCAAACTTTAACTATGCAAAGTGTCCCATCGGCAACAGAAATACTTTTGCACTTAAAGAACCTGCAAGGATTTGCAGGATTAAGGCTAAATTTGAACTATGCATTTAAAAAAAAAAAAAAAAATCATGAAGTGCTTTGAAATCTACTGATGTTAAGTACTATGTAAGAGGTAGGTATGGTGTGATTCTACGTAAATTTTACTAGATAACAAGCTTTCTAAGTTTTAATAAAACTTCCTAGGAGAAAATTCAGGACTTCCCCCAGATGGGGAAAAGGAAGCCTAGAATACTAAGGCAAAAGCTCGAATAGTAAAACTAAGCTCTCTAATCAGAATGTCACGAATTCCATAACGTACATTGGTTAAGTAAGGCCAAAACTGAATTTCAAATACTTTAAAACGTAAACATGTATTTGTAATGTGAATGGGCATGTCAGTGACTGACAATTAAAGCAGATTTTTATCCTAAAGTCTGATCCTGCAGACACTTACATACACAAACTTTCCACATGTTGAAGTTCAATGGGACTATTTATATGCATAAAATAAATTAAGTGCATAAGTGCACTTCGGGATTATGCCATAACCTAACTTTTAAACTTGAGCACAGATCTAATCAAAGGAAGGCAAACAACCTGAAGGCCAGTCCTTGCTTACAAACAGCCCCCTAACCTGAAGCAAATACTCACCAGCAACCACACTCCACACAACAAAAACACTAACCCAGGAACCTAACCTTGCCACAAAGCCTGTTGCCAACTGTGTCCACATATCTATTCAGGGGACACCATCATAGGACCTAATCACATCAGCCACACTATCAGAGGCTCATTCACCTGCACATCTACCAATCTGATATATACCATCATGTGCCAGCAATTCCCCTCTGCCATGTACATTGGCCAAACCGGACAGTCTCTACATAAAAGAATAAATGGACACAAACCAGATGTCAGGAATTATAACAGTCAAAAACCAGTCAGAGAACACTTCAATCTCCCTCGTCACTCAATTACAGACCTAAAAGTCACAATATTACAACAAAAAAAACTTCAAGACGACTCCAACGAGAGACTACTGAATTGGAATTAATTTGCAAACTGGACACCATTAAATTAGGCTTGAATAAAGACTCAGGAGTGGATGTCTCATTACACAGAATAAAACTATTTCCCCATGTTTATTTTTCCCCCCTACTGTTCCTCACACGTTCTTGTCAACTGCTGGAAATGGCCCATCTTGATTATCACTACAAAAGGTTTTTTTCCTCTCCTGCTGGTAATAAGAAAAGGAGTACTTGTGGCACCTTAGAGACTAACCAATTTATTTGAGCATGAGCTTTCGTGAGCTACAGCTCACTTCATCGGATGCATACCGTGGAAACTGCAGAAGACATTATATACACACAGAGACCATGAAACAATACCTCCTCCCACCTCACTGTCCTGCTGGTAATAGCTTATCTAAAGTGATCATCAAGTTGGGACATTTCCAGCACAAATCCAGGTTCTCTCACCCTCCGCCCCCCCCCACACAAACTCACTCTCCTGCTGGTAATAGCCCATCCAAAGTGACCACTCTCTTCACAATAGTTCACCTTAACTGATCACTCTCATTATACTGGTTTCAGAGTAACAGCCGTGTTAGTCTGTCTTTGCAAAAAGAAAAGGAGTACTTGTGGCACCTTAGAGACTAACAATTTATTTGAGCATGAGCTTTCGTCATCCGATGAAGTGAGCTGTAAAGTACTCCTGTTCTTTTTGCGGATACAGACTAACACGGCTGCTACTCTGCAACTTGAAGTTAGGAATTAACAATATTTAGATGTAACAAAGCTGACCAAACAGTAGATGGTGCTATAATTGCATGTCTTGTGAAATCAAGTGTTCAGAATGCTCTTCTACTTAAAAGTTTTGTTTTTAAATCAGAAAAAAGAGAGATCTGTATAATGGTAGTGCCAGGAAACTCTAATCAGACTATAATCTTTGGTTTCAGAGTAACAGCCGTGTTAGTCTGTCTTTGCAAAAAGAAAAGGAGTACTTGTGGCACCTTAGAGACTAACCAATTTATTTGAGCATGAGCTTTCATGAGCTACAGCTCACTTCATCGGATGCATTCAGTGTAGCTCACGAAAGCTCATGCTCAAATAAATTGGTTAGTCTCTAAGGTGCCACAAGTACTCCTTTTCTTTTTACTATAATCTTTGGCACCAATCCTGCAAACATTTACACATACCTTTAAATCAAAGGGACTATTGCTTGGCATTAAGGACATGCATAAGTGTTTGCAGCACTGTGCCTAAACAGACAATAAGTTGAGAAAGCCAATTTCTCCCATGCATCGGGAGGCTTCAAAAGAGTGTTTCTTTGGACAACAAGGCTGTATTATGTTGTGGCCTGCGGTTAATTAGAGTAGGATTCCAAAATCTACTTCCAAAGAAAGTTGTGGATTTAATGTACTACTTTAAAACGCAAAGCAATTAGGAATATTTGTCCTGTCAATACAGGATTTTTTGATCTAAACAGTGGAAATACAATTTCTTGTCATTTGGTAAATTGCAACAAATATTGTATTTATTTCAGTGCCATTGTTTGCACTTTTAGATGAAACCTCAAGAAGATCACCCCATGGTACAGCTATTATATTTCTAAAATTGGGAAGAACTAGAGCAGGGGTCGGCAACCTATGGCACGTGTGCCAAAGATGGCATGCGAGCCAATTTTTAATGGCACGCTGCTGTCTGGGACCCTGGCAGACAGCAGCATGCCATTAAAAATCCTGCCCAGCCCCACCCACCGCTCTCTCCTTGCAGGGCAGGCAAGCTTCCCCCTCACCGCGCCTCTTCCCCCAGCATGCTGGATTCCTGCCCCTCCTCCTCCCTCCCTGCGGAAAAACAGAGCAGCAGCACGGTCTCTGGTCCGGGGACCTTGGGGAAGGGGGGTGGAATTGGCATATCCCCTCCAGGTCCCTGCTGTGAGCCGCCCACACCCCCAGACCCCTGCATCCCCCACACCCAGACTCTTGCACCCCCCACATCCCCATCCTGAGCACCAAACGGAGCTCCTGCACACACACACACCCCACATTCCCACCTGCACCCCATGCACCAAATGGGAGCTGCCCAGGTAAGCGCTCCACACCCAAACCTACTGCCCCAACCCTGAGCCCCCTCCCTCATTCTAGCTCCTGGCCAGACCCTGGACCCCAACCTGCTCCTTCACCCCCAGTCCTGTTCTCAGCGCACTCCCATCCTCATCTCAGTGCAGAGAGAGGAAGAGAATGGCTAGAGCCAGGGAGAAGGTAGGTATGTAGACAGGGTCAGGACCCCAGACCAGCAGCAGGCTGAGCGGGGCTGGCAGCTAGGACCTTGACTGGCAGGAGCTGGTGGACGGAACCTCAGACCGGCAGCGGGCTGAGCTGCTCAGCCCACTGCTGGTGTGCGGTCCCGGCCGCAAGCCCTGCTCAGCCCACTGCCGGTCTGGGGTTCTAGCTGCTGCCCCTTGCCAGCCGGGGTCCTGGTCACAGGCCCCGCTCAGCCTGCTGCTGGCCTAGGTGAGCAGAACCCCAGGCCGGCAGCAGGCTGAGCGGGCCAGTGGTGTAAGATCAGCATTTTAATTTAATTTCAAATGAAGCTTCTTAAGCATTTTGAAAACCTTGTTTACATACGACAATAGTTTAGTTATAGAATATATAGACTTATAGAGAGAGACCGTCTAAAAAACTTTAAAATGTATTATTGGCACACAAAACCTTAAAGTGAATAAATGAAGATTCAGCACACCACTTCTAAAAGGTTGCCGACCCCCTAACTAGAGCTTTACTTGGCTGGCTAGGTATCAAGCCTGCCCTGTTTAGGACAAATCTCCAGCATGTCTGCATGACTTCAAGAGTTGAACTTCTAAAACTAATATCAGGTTGCCTTAATGAGACACAGAGGAGATTATAATTTTTATTTACCTATAAAAATTTAACTAGAAAGTGGAGCATAAAAAACAGGTTTTGCTTGACCTGCTCATACAGGTTGGGACACTGAATAGGTGAACAATATTTATCACACTTTCACCTTGGCAAGATTGAACACGGCTCTGGTATCAGGGGCAGGGCGCCGGGGGGGCGGGGCACCAAGGAAGGGAGCGCGGGAGGGAAGCCCCACAGGGAGGGAGGGCGGCGGGGGGCTGGGATCCACCGGGTCTCCCCCCGCCCTTACCTGAGCCGCGCCCGGGCAGAGACGCCGAAGAAGCGGCCCGGTGTCCGGACAGCGACGCTGCCGCTGCCGCTGACGACACCGCCACCGCCACCGCCCCCGCCCGGCCCCCCCGCGGCTCCCCGGAACGCGGCCAGGAGCCAGCGGCAGGAGGAGGCCGCGGAGGCCCGCAGGAGGCTGGCGGTGCCCGGAGCAGCCATAGCAGAGGTAGACAAGAAGAAAGCACAACCGACCCCGTCCACAACGAGTAAAGTCCACCCGCTTATACAACCGGCACAAGCTACGGCTATTCCCCAAGGCACTTACGTCTTCTACGGGGCGTAGCCCTCGCTCCACTTGCAAGTGAGTGGTGATAGTTGGTACGCAAAAGGCGCAGAGCAAGCTCCTCCTTCTGTGCAGGAGATACGCAACGTACGTAGAACCGTCCTCTAGTCTACAGCTGCGGGCAAGTAAATTGCGTAGCGTGCTCCTTGTTTGAAGCTGTGGAAGGGGTTAGGCCGTATCCCGGGCGCCCTCCCCAACCTCCCCCCTGTCTCATGCTCCAGCCCCCTGCCCTCCAGTTACCCCTCTGGGTGCCCCCACATGCAGCCCCTCCAATGCCCCTACCTGCTGTTGCAGCCCCCACTGCTTGTCTCTGGCCACTGCACAGTGCCGCCATGAGCCCCAGCTCTCAGGAGCTGGCTTCTCAGTCGCTTGGCCCCAGCTCCCCTGTCACAGGGTTTGTGGAGACTGACAGTCCTCTTTACTCTCCATTCTTCCAGGGGTGACCGGTTCACCCATCGCCCCATTTCTAGTATGCAGCAGGGCCCTCACCTCCCCCTGGATCTAACAGGTCAGAAGGATCATTATCGCCCTTTCCCTAGTGGAGCTGGATCCTAGCAAACTGACCTCAGCTCTGTTCCCCGTCTTTTACAGGAAGGGCACCAGGCAAGCCCCAGCCGCAGGAAGCCAGACTCCTGTACCCAGTCTGATAAAACTTTTCACACTGTCATGTAATCTTATTATGGCAAGGGTCAGCACAGTTAAACCTAGTTCTTTATTTTTGCTTGTGAGGAAACCTTTAGTCTTGGAAGAAAATGATGTGGTGCTGTTTATCTCTTGCAGTTTCTATAGGAGATCTGTGGCAAGCATCAAGGGAACTTGCTGTCTGCCTTAATATCTCCAGCTAGAGTCAATTATTGAGGCAGAGTTGCACCATGGGCTTTGGTGTTGGAATTGAATACCTGGAAGAGGGGATTGCCGGTATGCCATTTGTGACCACTTCTATTTCAGGATTGGCATATATTTGTGAATAAAACAAGTTACACTAAGAATATTCTCAGACTCTTTCTCCTCCCAGGTGGGAACCAGCAAACCTCCCGATATCTGATTCCACTCAGCAAAGGAATGACAATACATGCTCGTTCACCTGCACATCTACCAATGTGATATATGCCATTATGTGCAAGCAGTGCCCCTCTGCCATGTACATTGGTCAAACTGGACAGTCTCTACGTAAAAGAATAAATGGACACAAATCAGATGTCAAGGATTATAACATTCATAAACCAGTCGGAGAACACTTCAATCTCTCTGGTCACGCGATTACAGACATGAAAGTTGCGATATTACAACAAAAGAGCTTCAAATCCAGACTCCAGCGAGAAACTGTTGAATCGGAATTCATTTGCAAATTGGATACAATTAACTTAGGCTTGAATAGAGACTGGGAGTGGCTAAGTCATTATGCAAGGTAACCTATTTCCTCTTGTTTTTTCCTACCCCCTTCCGCCCCCCCTGTTCCTCAGACGTTCTTGTTAAACCCTGGATTTGTGCTGGAAATGGCCTACCTTGATTATCATACACATTGTAAGGAGAGTGATCACTTCAGATAAGCTATTACCAGCAGGAGAGTGGGGTGGGGGAAGAAAACCTTTTGAAGTGATAAACACCCATTTTTTCATAGTCTGTGTGTATAAAAACATCCTCACTGCATTTTCCACTTTTATGCATCCGATGAAGTGAGCTGTAGCTCACGAAAGCTTATGCTCAAATAAATTGGTTAGTCTCTAAGGTGGGACAAGTACTCCTTTTCTTTTTGCGAATACAGACTAACATGGCTGCTACTCTGAAACAATACATGCCATATGAACAATGATAATAACAGAATGTTGAAAGTGCACAATGAAGCACTCAAAAGTCAGAAAAAGTCAAAGCTGAGATTGCCTATGCAATCTTAACTCAGACCCCTTGTGCGTATGCATTAGTACACAGTCTTTAGTTACATGATCACGCACTACAATACTGTATCTGCAGATTCCCTACATCCTTCAGCATGCAGGTTGGACAGTGAATGAGGAAAGAGTGCAATATTTATTTCAAAATACCTTATTTAAACAAAAGTGAAGAGGAATGGGTAACAGTCAGGAATCCCTGAATTTGGATTTTCAAGAAGTTTGATTTGGTGAGCGTTTGGCCCTGGCTGCCTTATGAATTCAGGTCTGTGCCTTTGCTGCTCTCAGATGTGGAGTTAGAGGTAATGGAGAGTGGGGGCAAGCCTTGTTACATTTCTTTTGGGCAGAATCCTTTTATACAGTTCAAATAGGGACAGTAACCTCAAATAGAGTCTGAATCTGGTGCTAAAGTTTCTCTGTCAAACTTCATTTGGACCTCTTCCGTCATTGTTTATGTCAACATAGCTTTCACAGTGCCCGTAATAGTTGGCACTCAGAAGAGTAAGTGAAGTGGTGGCTGTGTCCTATTATCCCTTCTGAAGTTGATCCTCCTCATTTTCCTTTCCTTCCAAAGATCTCCATGCTTTGTACAAATCAAGAGAATCTTCTTCCCAGTTTTGGCTTACCCTGAGTCTGTGATTTAAAAAAGTATTTGAATTACCTAGACATTAAGGAGAGCTCTAAATTTCAACTTGGGTAAGTTTAAGTAGTTTTTTTTTCCCCTCTAAAAGTCCATCTTGTGTGGATGTAAGCAGAGTCAGAATGAGCTCTACCCTGACATCTGATGGTAAGCTGTGGAAAAGGACTTCAGGGGCTGATCTCGTTTCCGTGAGCACTCTTGTTTGCATGGGCACACCCAGCCTGCCTAACTTGATGGGCTGCTTGTCCAAATGGTCACTTTGGCTGCTGTGGGATCCCCAGTCTCTCTGTTGTTGGGGCAGGAGTAATAAAGGGTTGTTATCCTGCTTATGTGAATCAAGGACAGTAGAACTGTACTTGGCATTTTATGATGGAGGGACTCGCCCTCAACTAAGTAGCACTTGCTAGGCAAGGGACATGGGTTCCAAAACCCAGTGAATTAAGAGAGGTTGGGGATATCTATGTGGGCCCCTTCTGAGGGCCTGAAACGCTACTTTGACCCCTCCTTTCTCAATGGTGTAATAACAGAGCTAATTTTGGCTCCATTCGGAGTCTTGTTACCTGCTGCAGAGCTGAAATCAGTGACAGCTAGGTCTAAGCATTAGACCTACTTTGGGCTACTGGTGTACCAGCACTGAGGCTCCCTCCTACGACCAGCTAAAAATCACTGAGAGCTGAAGTTGCTGAGAGCTGTGTTAAGCAGGGCAGGGGGCCTGAAGACAAGTTTGTGAGCAGACAGCAGGACATCTAGCCGAATGGAGTGGTTAGCAGGGCAGCTGATCGAGAGGTGTGGCTGGTGGTGAAGACTGCAGCAGAAGCCCTGGAGAGGCATGGCACTTGGCTGTCAAGCAGCGGAGCATATAAGATGCTTCCCCCATACCGCCTTCCACTTCCACCCAGGCTGGGAGGTAAACTCTGCAGATGAACTTCTGAACTCTGGGGGGGCTGAACTGATCAAGGACAGAAACTGGAGGGGGAGGGGGGGATGAATGTTGCGTTGCTGGACTTAAGACCCTGAGGGGAAAAGGACATTGCCAAACTTACTTGTGGTGGGTCTTTTGCTCATGGTTGGTGTTATGAATCATGTTTGTGGTGTTTCCCCCACATAATGCTGCAATGTTTCCCTCCTTTATTAAAAGGCTTTTGCTACACTCAGACTCTGTGCTTGCGAGAGGGGAAGTATTGCTTCTTGGAGGCGCCCAGGGGGGTGGTATGTAATTGTCCCAGGTTACTGGGTGGTGACTCCAGCCAGTTTTGCATTGTGTTATTGAAACGGAAACCCTAGATACTGAACCCAGCCCTTGTCGCTGCCAACTCTGACGGGCAGAAGGGTTACATGTATTTTATTATGTGGGGGCACAATGTAATTGGTGGGGGCCGGGGGGGCAAAAGTGGAAAACAGGAAGCCAGCAGTGGTCCTACCTCTACCACACTCTGTAAACTCCTGGGGGGCTGGTATCATCTTTTTTTTTATTAGAAATGTATGTAATAATGGCACAATGTGGTCTGAACTCCTGATTATGGTAGCACCTAGAGGTTCCAGTGGAAATAACAATAAAGGCCTGTTTATGACTGCACAGGGCGCAGGGCAGCCATGAACTACAAACCCATGACTTTCAGCCGAATGCTCACTCCTCTTGTCAATGCTTCCTCTGTTATTTCTCTCTTGCTGGTTAAACCTTATTATCTGTAATAGATATAGTTCATAGATTCCGAGGCCAGAAGGGACCATTGTGATGGTGGTACTCGACAAAAATGAATCCTTACAACCCTCCACTGAAACACACAAACAATACAAAAAGAATAAGTGAATGTCCTTTGATGTTGGAGACTGTAGTTACTGTGTATCTGGTTGTCTGCACCATAACACCAGTTTTAATTCCATTCACTTAGTAGGAAAGTGAATAATCAGGCTCCGTCTGCCTGGCTGTACTGAACTCTGAAAAGTAGTTCCTTGTAGGGTCCTCTAGGGCAGTGTTTCTCAACCTTTTAAAAGCTGAGACCAGCTTGTTGCCTTCCTAAATTGTGTCAGGGAGATCTCAGGGACTGGTGCTGGTCCACGGACTGGTTATTGAGAAATAGTGATCTGGGAAGCAGCAAGTCAGTATTAGTCTAACTGAGCTGATGCTCATTAAATATGTGCAGAAGATGTTTAGAAAAGGTGCTGTGCATGAGTGACGTCTCCTACCATGCAAGAGGTTTGCATCTCTGCCAGGGGTCATCATAGCAGCTAAGAAAGGGATATGCCTTGCTCATAACACCCCTAAACAGTATTTTACATTTCCGAGGTAGTGTATGGAGTAAAAAATTTCAAGCAATAGAAAATGAAAGACTTATAATGGTTAAATAGTATATTTTTTCATAAGAGAACTATGGGTGGAGAGAACTGGCAAGAAATCTCCTTCAAGGAATACAGCCTGCATCTAGTGGAAATGTCACTCTGGGATATTCCAACCCATTGCCATTAATATAGCTGGTCAGAAGCGACTACTTGTGAATTAAAAAAACCCAGCACTTTTATGGTTATTTATTAGTGAATAAAGTCACGAAAGCTATGTTGGAAACAAAAATGCTATCATTACATAACCCAATATATGTATATTTTCAGCAATAGAGCTCATTTATGAAGCACTCAAGTGTCTGAAGATCCATTCAAAACAATACACCCATAACTACCTAATTGTGGATACTCTAATAAAAATTCAGAAAACCTGCTGAAGGGTCAGCACTAAGTACACAGACACTTGGGACACTGTACAGTCCTGCAGTTTACAGGGCGTGGCTGTCCCATCAGTGATGTAATTGGAACAGGAGGTAACTCGGGATTGCTCCTTCCCTCTACCATCTTGGGATCACGCAAACGGTATCAGCATATTAAATGGTGGTTCTTGCTGTGCTGCCAATTCTTGCAACATCTGGTGTATGTTTTCTTAACGCTCCAGCTCGTGGAGTCTGGGATCATGTGAGAACTTTAACCGTTTAAAGAAAAGTAGCTTTCAGCTCTAATGGATGTGGGTAAAGAAGCTTGAAAATGTGAACCCTACAGGCTCAAACCAGAAGCCAAGTAAAGAGAACTTAAAGTCTGTTTTTAAAATGTAATGATTTTTTGAAGCATGACTTTCTGGGGCCTGACTCATGATTTTTGAACGCTTGGAGTTGGCAGTACTGTATTTGGCTCTTGGCTTTACCCAAACCCCCTCCGTTTAGGGCAAGATTAAGAACAGCTGAGGGGTATGCCCCTTGCAATACAAGACAGGCTGTCTGATGCCTGTCTGAGCCCTCTATTGGAAACTCAGACTGAGAACTGCATCTTGGCATTTGAAGCAAATTTGTTCTTGTGGCACTGCACTTCCTTTACCTCACTGGGTCCAGCATTTCTTCCTCTAGCAGCGGGAGGGCCTGGAGTCAATCAGTCCCACTTCAGAAATTTTTTTTCTATTTCTCCCTTGTATTTATTTTTCAATATTTACAAGGTGGGCCTCAGGGTAGGCTCAAGCAGTACTCTTCAACCAAACAAAAGAAACAAATTCATAACACAGAAAGGAAAATAGTCTTCTCCCTGCCCCCTCTGTACGGTGTTGCTTTGTTATGCTAGCTTCTGGATGCCAGTCCTTCCCCAGTCAGTGAGCTTAGTAGCTTCCCCTATACGGAGAAGAGGAGCCTTTTTTCCCTACTGCCACTTGTGTCTCATCTCTCATCCCTGTTGCCAGGGGGTGAGGGGGGTTTAAAGGTCACAGGCAGCCCTTAATTGGATTCAGTTGCGGCTCGCTGACCTAAGGTAACCTATTTTCCGTTAATAGGAAAAGGGCCTGCACCATTCTAGGACTGATATGCTTGACTTCCACAACTCTTATAGCTGTCTGGTCTGACTTTGTCACATTTTTTATTTCTCTCTAGCATTTACGTGTGATGTCGATTGATCTATGCCAAGCTGACACTGTGTGGGCCCAACCTCTGCAGCACATCTCATCCTGCTGGAGCATTACAGCAGCTGCTTCTAATATTTCTCAACTATTTGGCAATCCCCCAGACAGTGGTAAAACAATGCTGTAAATTTATTGCATTTGCTTTGTCACAGTTCTCATGTAGAGGTAGAGAAATGCATTTGTAAATATCTGTGACACCCTGGGTATTCTTTGCACCATTTTAGGGCTCTCTGCCAATATGTTGGCACCATTTTGAATTTAGAAAGCCACAGAACTATTACTGCAATCTCAAAACGGCTGAGGCAGCAATCTGTTTTATTACTTTATTCTTCTGACTTTGTTCTTCCATACAGAGAAGCAGTCGTAACAAAATCATGCAGTATTCTAGTCTGAAAACTAGCCAAATTCTATTTCAAACTTGTATAGCTCTACTGAAGTCAATGGAGCCATGCCCCGTTACTAACAGAAAACTTGGTCTAATATCTCTACACTCTATATACATAAAAGAAACAACTGAACTTCTAGTACTTACGTCAAATTCCTATATATTTGAGTGCAGTGTATTGTTTAGTGGCTTGTGTGGTCAGAAAACTGTATTACTGTATAGGGACTTGCAGTGAAACCCAGTAATACTCCCATTGACTTCCTGGGGCCAGGATTTTACATAGGGTGTCTGTGAATGTAAGAACAGTCATACTGAGTCAGACCAAAGGTCCATCGAACCCAGCATTCTGTCTTCCAACAGTGGCCAATACCAGGTACCCCAATGGGAATGAACAGAACAGGTAATCACCAAGTGATCCATTCCCTGTTGCCTATTCTCAGCTTCTGGCAAACAGAGACTAGGGAAACCATCCCTTCCTATCCTGGCTAATAGCCATTTATGGACCTATCTTCCATGAATTTATCTAGTTCTTTTTTGAACCCTGTTGTAGTCTTGGCCTTCACAACATCCTCTGGCAAGGAGTTCCACAGGTTGACTGTGCGTTGTGTGAAGAAATACTTCCTTTTGTTTGTTTTAAACCTGCTGCCTATTAATTTAATTTGGTGACCCCTAGTTATTATGTTATGAGAAGGAATAAATAACACTTCCTTACTTTCTCCACACCAGTCATGATTTTATAGACCTCTATCATATGCCCCCTTAGTCATCTCTTTTCCAACCTGAAAAGTCCCAGTCTTATTAATCTCTCCTCATATGGAAGCTGTTCCATACTCCTAATCATTTTTGTTGCCCTTTTCTGAACCTTTTTCAATTCCAATATATCTTTTCTGAGATGGGGCGATCACATCTGCACGCAGTATTCAAGATATGGGTGAAACATGGATTTATATAGAGACAATACTATATTTTCTGTCTTATTATCTGTCCCTTTCTTAATGATCCTCAACATTCTGTTCACTTTTTTGACGGCCGCTGCACATTGAGTGGATATTTTCAGAGAACTATCCACAGTGACTGCAAGACCTTTTTCTTTAGTGGTAACAGCTAATTTAGACCCCATCGTTTTATGTATATGGAAACATAATCCCAACTAATCTGCATTACTTTGCATTTATCAACATTGAATTTCATCTGCCACTTTGTTGCCCAATCACCCGGTTTTGTGAGAAACTATGGTACTTAAGAGCTCTTATGAGTAGAGCGGTATCTTATTAGGGTGGAAAGAATCCTTAACTTTTCAGTTATGCAATGAAGAAGTTAAAGGTATTTCCAGAAATCAGATCACAGCTATTTTTGTTGTCAGCTAGCATTTCTATATGTTTCTCATCTCATTTCACCTTGAGTACCTCTTTATGATTTATTAGGGTGTAGACCGCTAAACGTATCTGTTTGGCTGTGTGGATTTTGAATAGTGGATAAGGTCCTACTTGAATTGCAGGATGATTATCAAAAAATTGCAGCCAAGTTGCAAACAAACTATGGAAAATTGCAGAAAAGTAATATTGAACCTTATTATTTGCAGTAATAAAGTCCATTATTACTTTTCTGCTGTCAGCTGCCCAGGGCTCAGAGCAGGGACTTGGGGCTGACAGTGGGAACACAGGGCTGAGAGCAGGGCTCATGCTGTTGGCCGCCCGAGGCTGACACTGTCCAACTGGGGCTGAGAGTGGGAGCCCCTGCTATCAGCCGCTCAGGGCTGAGAGCAGGGGCCCAGGGCTGACAGTGGGAACGCAACAGCTCCCGCTGTTGGCCACCCAGGCTGACAGCGGCTGCATGGAGCTGAC